CTGGGGTCATTGGTTCGGTGTAATAGGTCCGGGGTCATTGGTCTCATGTCATGGGTCCGGGTCATGGGTCCGTGTCATTGGTCCAGGGTCATTGGTCCGGTGTTATGGGTCCAGGGTCATGGGTCCGTGTCATGGGTCAGGTGTCATGGGTCCGGGTCATGTGTCCGGTGTCATAGGTCCGGGGTTATTGGTCTCATGTCATGGGTCGGGGTCATGGGTCCGTGTCATGGGTCCGGGGTCATTGGTTCGGTGTCATAGGACCGGGTCATGGGTCTGGTGTCATGGGTCCGTGTCATAGGTCTGGGGTCATTGGTCTCATGTCATGGGTCCGGGTCATGGGTCCGTGTCATAGGTCCGGGGTCATTGGTTCGTGTCATAGGTCCGGGTCATGTGTCTGGTGTCATGGGTCCGGGGTCATTGGTCCAGGGTCATAGGTCTGGGGTCATTGGTCTCATGTCATGGGTCCAGGGTCATGGGTCTGGTGTCATAGGTCCAAGGTCATTGGTCTCATGTCATGGGTCCAGGGTCATTGGTCCGTATCTTGGGTCTGGGGTCATTGGTCCGGTGTCATGGGTCCGGGTCATTGGTTCGGTGTCATATGTCCGGGTCATTGGTCTCATGTCATGGGTCCAGGGACATGGGTCCGGTGTCATGGGTCCGGATGATCCCAAATAAATGAAGTCAATGATAGAGTTTGATTTTGACGGGAAGATTTTTAATCTTCTTTTTGTTTTAATAGGTTCAACCAATTGTGATGAAATTATTAAGTGCTCTTTCTACTCCATCACAACCTGTAAGTAAACTTTTTATTCTTCTTCTATGGATATCTTAATACAACAGTCTGATTTATACTTTAGGTACAATAGGCTGTTGCAAAATGCTTACCTCCTCTTGTTGCAGTCATTAAAGATGAAGCTTCTGATATTATTAAAAATTTACTTACTAAGGTTTGAACCTTATTTCTTATTGTTCTTTTATGGATTTAATATCTGGGTATGTAATGGATGTGCTTCTTTCTATCAAAATTATTTACTTATTGCTGCATGACTTAATGAAATATAATTAAATACAATTTTTTATTTTGGTATTTCAACTGTGATCAACGTTAAGTTGTCACTTACTATGCCAATCCCTTTTATAGTTACTTGATTCCACAGTTTATGGTGAACGCCGTGGAGCTGCTTATGGTCTTGCGTCTTTTGTTAAAGGTTTGGGGATTTTATCTTTAAAACAGCAAAATATTATAACAACTTTACAAAACGCCATTCAAGATAAGAAAAACTACAGACACAGAGAAGGTGAATGATAATAATTAACGTGTATTTATAATCGTTGGTTTCAAATAATTGCTAGTTTTTTTTTTACCGTAGGTGCTCTATTTGCTTTTGAACTTCTTTGTCATATTTTGGGACGTTTATTTGAACCATATGTTATTCACGTTCTTCCTTCTTTGTTGTTATGTTTTGGTGACGGAAATAAGTTTGTTAGAGAGGTAAGTAAATCATTGAGGAGTGATTTTTCTGTTTACCTACGTATATAAGTACCTTTCTTCTCCTTGTCAAACAAATATGATAAAATATGTTTGTTTTTAGTGACTATTGTGTTGTGTACTTGTATAATGAGAATCATGAATGTCCCATCGTATTCATATTTTTGAGATTTAAGGCAACAGATGATACAGCTCGGGCCATGATGAGAAATCTTAGTGGTCATGGAGTGAAGCTTGTTTTACCTTCATTACTTAAAGCTTTGTTGGAAGATGCTTGGCAAACAAAGACTGGTATTTTCTTTCACTCATTTATTTATGTTATAGTACAGTATACAGATATCTATATTATTTATAGGAAGTGTGGAATTACTTGGTGCGATGGCTTATTGCGAGGTCTTCAGTTAAATAATTCATCATCACTTTATGAAGTCAGGATTTCTAATGTTTTTTTAGATACGTGAGAAATTGTTGGACTGTCACAAAGATGTTAAAATGGGAGAGGTTTCTAATCTATATAATTTTACCACGAACTTTTCTTTAGAAATCTATACTCCTGTGCAGAAAATAATAACTTCTTGTTTGTCTAAGTCAATGCTACGTATTTGTTCACGTTCGACGTTACTCGAAGAAATAAAATATTGAGACCGTATTTATTCCAGTCAACAAATGGAATGTTTTGGAAGAAAAACAAAAAGAATGAACGATAGGGAAATCATAAAATCATTAAATGATATAAATTTATGACTATGTAAAAAACACATATCCATTACGGTTATGACGTCCAAAAATTTCATCGACATCTATCTATGTCACGTTTTCTAATTATAATTAAATTATGTTTAGCCTTCAGAATTTTCCAACTTTATGTCTTCAGTAATTAACAGGAAGGTAAGTCTTTGTTATTTTTTCTGTTAAAATTTTAAGGGGAGGAAAGAATGTTTACATTATTTTAAGGCATTTGAGTCAGTTAAAGGATTCATTGACTATGCAAAGAAATGTGAAAACGTGATTATTTTGGCTGGTGGAATTTCAGATGATAGGTGTGTTCACCTTATTTCATAATTTTTAAATCAAGAGAAATTGTTGTCCATATAGAAATACGTGATTTATCGCAATTTACTTAGAGTTGGTTACTACATTGAACCAACTATTATGGAGGTAAAAGATCCAAAAGACAAACTAATGACTGAGGTAACATTAAACATCATATTTCCGCTTAACAAAAGTTGACCTTCGAAAAAATTTTTTTGTCTAGGAAATATTTGGACCAGTTCTTCCGATTTATGTTTACAAAGCTGATATGTATAGAGATATATTAAAAATGGTTCGTATTTAATTGTTCAGTGAAAAAGAAAACTATTATTTTGAGATGACTTTTTGGTTAAAGGTCATAGCAATTGTCTAGCAATTGCGGACTTTGATGAAATTGTTAATTGTCCTAAAATGAAATATTTTGTTTTATATTTTGTTTAAACAGTTGATGAACATGTTAAAAATATTCTTGTTGCATCTTGAATGTGTTTCTTTAGATTGATGAAACAAGTAAATTTGCTTTAACTGGAGCCGTTTTTAGTGAATCAAGGTACAAATGCTGTAATCATTGTCCACTTTATGATTAAGGCTAAAAATTTACATCAGAAGTCTTCAAACTAAGAATCTAAAATTGGTGATATTACTAGAAAATATGTTTATATACACATATATAGTACAATACTACAAGCCTTCTTACTATTTTTCTATATGTTGAATAATTACAGAGAAGTTATCAGGGAAGTCCAAGAAGTTTTAAGACAAGCTGCTGGTAATTTTTATGTCAACGACAAATGTACAGGGTCAGTGGTTGCTCAACAACCATTTGGTGGTCGTCGAATGTCAGGTTTGTTGTTTATGCAGTATGAAGCACAACCTAAAGGCCAGTGTAATCCTTAACTTGTATAAAGAGGCTTTTTAGTATTTAAGGGGTCGGTCCATTCAATAACATGTTTTTTTATTACTTCAAATATTTTTCAATAGACAGAAGGTTATGTCAATATAAATAAGATAGATTAGCTATGCTGCTACTGTACACAAAAGCTGTTACTTATGCTATAACTTTGCATTAGGTACCAATGATAAACCTGGCTCTTATCTCAATATTTTACCCTGGGTTTCACCATTGTCTGTAAAAAGAAATATCCTGAAACTTAAAGACTGGAAATATGACTACATGAAGTATGTGCTATTGTTTTAAAATATACATTCACAGTTGTCTTTTACTTCGCCATAAGTACATGGTTGCTAGCTATCAATCATCTTGAATATTTTCTCAATTATTTACCCCGTGAATTTTTCTCATGTAGTTATTGACAAAGAAGGTGATTATTTTCAGATCAAACCAACACGTGACCATTTATTCATATTGAATCCTTTAGATGACCAAGATACTGGATATTCTTGATGCAAGAAAATAGTAGATGTGTATTTTACCGTTTTAGATATAAATTACCATATTTGATTATCGTTATGAACAGTCAATCTTCAGTTGTCATGCTTAATTATGCGTGAATTGATCACCTTTATAATTGAATATCGTGTTTTTTGGCTGAGGAATTAAAACCTTTTGTTTAACATTATGAAATAGTTCCTTTGCATGATTTAATTAAGTATGGTTAGGAAATAGATAGCCCCTACCAAGTTCTTACCAAGCATTTGCAGAAACATGAAAAACAGGATTCATTTTGATAATCAGAAATACAGGATAAACTGAAGGGCAAACCCAAGCAGTCAGGTGTACAAAAGTGTGGAGCGTAATGGTTTTAAAATACATTACAACTTTCTGCATTTAAAGTTGTTGATGATTCTTCGTCACGAAAGCAATGATTCTTCGTCACGAAAGCGATGATTCTTCGTCACGAAAGCGAGGATTCTTCGTCACGAAAGCGATGATTCTTCGTCACGAAAGCGATGATTCTTCGTCACGAAAGCGATGATTCTTCGTCACGAAAGCGATGATTCTTCGTCACGAAAGCGATGATTCTTCGTCACGAAAGCGATGATTCTTCGTCACGAAAGCGATGATTCTTCGTCACGAAAGCGATGATTCTTCGTCACGAAAGCGATGATTCTTCGTCACGAAAGCGATGATTCTTCGTCACGAAAGCGATGATTCTTCGTCACGAAAGCGATGATTCTTCGTCACGAAAGTAATGATTCTTCGTCACGAAAGCGATGATTCTTCGTCACGAAAGCGATGATTCTTCGTCACGAAAGCGATGATCTTTCGTCACGAAAGCGATGATCGTTCGTCACGAAAGCGATGATCGTTCGTCACGAAAGCGATGATCTTTCGTCACGAAAGCGATGATCTTTCGTCACGAAAGCGATGATCTTTCGTCACGAAAGCGATGATCTTTCGTCACGAAAGCGATGATCTTTCGTCACGAAAGCGATGATCTTTCGTCACGAAAGCGATGATCTTTCGTCACGAAAGCGATGATCTTTCGTCACGAAAGCGATGATCTTTCGTCACGAAAGCGATGATCTTTCGTCACGAAAGCGATGATCTTTCGTCACGAAAGCGATGATCTTTCGTCACGAAAGCGATGATCTTTCGTCACGAAAGCGATGATCTTTCGTCACGAAAGCGATGATCTTTCGTCACGAAAGCGATGATCTTTCGTCACGAAAGCGATGATCTTTCGTCACGAAAGCGATGATCTTTCGTCACGAAAGCGATGATCTTTCGTCACGAAAGCGATGATCTTTCGTCACGAAAGCGATGATCTTTCGTCACGAAAGCGATGATCTTTCGTCACGAAAGCGATGATCTTTCGTCACGAAAGCGATGATCTTTCGTCACGAAAGCGATGATCTTTCGTCACGAAAGCGATGATCTTCGTCACGAAAGCGATGATCTTCGTCACGAAAGCGATGATCTTTCGTCACGAAAGCGATGATCTTTCGTCACGAAAGCGATGATCTTTCGTCACGAAAGCGATGATCTTTCGTCACGAAAGCGATGATCTTTCGTCACGAAAGCGATGATCTTTCGTCACGAAAGCGATGATCTTTCGTCACGAAGCGATGATCTTTCGTCACGAAAGCGATGATCTTTCGTCACGAAAGCGATGATCTTTCGTCACGAAAGCGATGATCTTTCGTCACGAAAGCGATGATCTTTCGTCACGAAAGCGATGATCTTTCGTCACGAAAGCGATGATCTTTCGTCACGAAAGCGATGATCTTTCGTCACGAAAGCGATGATCTTTCGTCACGAAAGCGATGATCTTTCGTCACGAAAGCGATGATCTTTCGTCACGAAAGCGATGATCTTTCGTCACGAAAGCGATGATCTTTCGTCACGAAAGCGATGATCTTTCGTCACGAAAGCGATGATCTTTCGTCACGAAAGCGATGATCTTTCGTCACGAAAGCGATGATCTTTCGTCACGAAAGCGATGATCTTTCGTCACGAAAGCGATGATCTTTCGTCACGAAAGCGATGATCTTTCGTCACGAAAGCGATGATCTTTCGTCACGAAAGCGATGATCTTTCGTCACGAAAGCGATGATCTTTCGTCACGAAAGCGATGATCTTTCGTCACGAAAGCGATGATCTTTCGTCACGAAAGCGATGATCTTTCGTCACGAAAGCGATGATCTTCGTCACGAAAGCGATGATCTTTCGTCACGAAAGCGATGATCTTTCGTCACGAAAGCGATGATCTTTCGTCACGAAAGCGATGATCTTTCGTCACGAAAGCGATGATCTTTCGTCACGAAAGCGATGATCTTTCGTCACGAAAGCGATGATCTTTCGTCACGAAAGCGATGATCTTTCGTCACGAAAGCGATGATCTTTCGTCACGAAAGCGATGATCTTTCGTCACGAAAGCGATGATCTTTCGTCACGAAAGCGATGATCTTTCGTCACGAAAGCGATGATCTTTCGCCACGAAAGCGATGATCTTTCGCCACGAAAGCGATGATCTTTCGCCACGAAAGCGATGATCTTTCGCCACGAAAGCGATGATCTTTCGCCACGAAAGCGATGATCTTTCGTCACGAAAGCGATGATCTTTCGTCACGAAAGCGATGATCTTTCGTCACGAAAGCGATGATCTTTCGTCACGAAAGCGATGATCTTTCGTCACGAAAGCGATGATCTTTCGTCACGAAAGCGATGATCTTTCGTCACGAAAGCGATGATCTTTCGTCACGAAAGCGATGATCTTTCGTCACGAAAGCGATGATCTTTCGTCACGAAAGCGATGATCTTTCGTCACGAAAGCGATGATCTTCGTCACGAAAGCGATGATCTTTCGTCACGAAAGCGATGATCTTTCGTCACGAAAGCGATGATCTTTCGTCACGAAAGCGATGATCTTTCGTCACGAAAGCGATGATCTTTCGTCACGAAAGCGATGATCTTTCGTCACGAAAGCGATGATCTTTCGTCACGAAAGCGATGATCTTTCGTCACGAAAGCGATGATCTTTCGTCACGAAAGCGATGATCTTTCGTCACGAAAGCGATGATCTTTCGTCACGAAAGCGATGATCTTTCGTCACGAAAGCGATGATCTTTCGTCACGAAAGCGATGATCTTTCGTCACGAAAGCGATGATCTTTCGTCACGAAAGCGATGATCTTTCGTCACGAAAGCGATGATCTTTCGTCACGAAAGCGATGATCTTTCGTCACGAAAGCGATGATCTTTCGTCACGAAAGCGATGATCTTTCGTCACGAAAGCGATGATCTTTCGTCACGAAAGCGATGATCTTTCGTCACGAAAGCGATGATCTTTCGTCACGAAAGCGATGATCTTTCGTCACGAAAGCGATGATCTTTCGTCACGAAAGCGATGATCTTTCGTCACGAAAGCGATGATCTTTCGTCACGAAAGCGATGATCTTTCGTCACGAAAGCGATGATCTTTCGTCACGAAAGCGATGATCTTTCGTCACGAAAGCGATGATCTTTCGTCACGAAAGCGATGATCTTTCGTCACGAAAGCGATGATCTTTCGTCACGAAAGCGATGATCTTTCGTCACGAAAGCGATGAT